ATATTTCATTTCTGCAGATCATTTAAGGATTTACATCCTTCAATAAAAATCTATGCTGCACTGGCCAGGCAGCTCAGTTGGTTAGAATATCTTCTGGATACACAAAGGTTGTGGGTTTGATCCCCAATCGGGGCACATAGGAAAATCAACCAATGAATGCATAAATAAGTGGAACAACAAATAGATGTTTCTGTCTCTCTTTTCCCTTTCCTCGCTCTCAAATCAATAACACACACACAGACACACACACAGTTTTGTAGATCAGGTTGTCTGGTATGAACTTCTTACATCAGCATGGCTTTTTGCCAACGCACATTATTCCCATTATATTGATTCTAGCAATCGCCATTAGTATAGATCATTGAATTAGGAAGTAAATACGTTATTTTTCCCATGTTAACTCTTTATTTCCTTAATGGAGGAGCTTGCACTCAATAAAATGAGTGGTGGAGGGGGGAAAGAAATTGCTTTGGAGCCAAGCAGTCACTTGCAACTTGCCACTTTGAACAACTTAATTTCTCATAGCCTCAGTTTCCTCACCTGTGAAATGGTTACACTATCTATCTCATTTGATAGTTGTAAGTGACAGGATTTGGAACATGCCAGTCCAACGTATGGCACTTTGGCATATTGAATATTTTAAACTGAAGAAATGTGAGACCCCCGCTTTCTTCCCTGAAGCAGGTCGGAAGACGCTCTTGTGAGAAGTGCCTTCCCTATATTGCTGGAAAAGAACATCTTCACCTCCAAAGACAGAGGGATACTGAGAGAACCTGAATGAACAGGCCTTGCCGAGTTTCCCCTGGTTCATTACCCTTGTCTATACCTCTTTGTCTTATGTTTTTTCCCACAACTTTCCACTCTTCAAAACACTCAGGTTCAACCATCACTTTGGGTCTTCATTTCCTAACCAAAGCTCCTGGGTCACATAAAAATTCTGTTCGATAAATCTATACACATTTCTTCTGTTACTCTGACTTTCCTCAGTCCAATTTACAGGCCTGCAGCCCAAGAACCTAAATGGGTAGTAGGAAAATAATTTTTTGCTCCTCTATATTAGGACAAAAATGACATAACATAATTCAGTGACTTGTAGCAAATGGGTGTTCTCAAGGAATTAATAAATCCATTATGGTTTCTTGTATATTCATTTTGTCTTTCCCACTGAAATGCAAGCTCCTCTAAGGTACAGTAGTTCTTTTGTGTGTCCACAGAACTAGCACAGTACTGAATAGGAAATAAATTCCAATTGACTATATTACTGTGCTCCCATCCCCCAAGTTTCCAACCAGTTTGAATTTTAATAAAAGCTACTTGTGAGATGATATTGACTCACTAAGCTCTCAAACAGTTGCAACATAAACCACACAAACTGAGTAAAGTTTCATCTCAAAAACAACAACAGCAGCAATAAAAACTCTCACTATTTAATGAGGTTATTACAAAACTACTCTTCGTGTACTGGAATAGTTCAACAGTGAAGATAAAGTTAAGTGATTAAGTGGAACAAACTGTTACTGCATTTGGAGGTAAAGAAGATGAGATCATGCTTAATATGTGACCAGAAGTGTGAGTGACTTCAGAAGGAGCTCTTGGAAAAGAATAATTAGCAAGACTGTTAATTAAAGTGCCATCTGTAGTCTCAAAGAATAATAACTGGTTAGCCTGAGTGAGATATTGGTTTTTGATCTGTCCTTTTACTATTTAAACATGAGTGGGACTTGACATTCTAAAAAAATGTAATGACAGTTCACAAATTGTGAAACTCAATGGGCCTAAATGAGCTATACAGACCTCAGTGCAAACAAAAATTAGTAAAGAGCAGAGGTAACGAAACTGCGATGGCCCACAGGCCAAATCCGGCTGTTTCTGTTGGACCTGAGAGCTAAGAAAGGTTTTTATGGGTTTTTTAAAAAATATATATATATTTTTATTGATTTCAGAGAGGAAGGGCAAGAGAGAGAGAAGTAGAAACATCAATGATGAAAGAGAATCACTGATTGGCTGCCTTCTGCACACCCTCCACCAGGGACCGAGCACAGAACAGGCATGTGCCCTTGACTGGTATCGAACCCTTCAGTCTACAGGCCCACGCTCTCCACTGAGCCAAACCAGTCAGGGCTAAGAAAGGTTTTAACATTTTTAAATAGTTGAAAAGCAAATGTTTTAAAAGGTTAAAATTTTATGACGTGAAAATTATATGAAATTCTAGTTTCATATTGAGACACAGCCACACCCGATCATTTACATGTTGTCTATGGCTACCAGGGAATGACAGTGGCAGAGCTGAGTATGTGCTTGCAACAGACACCACATGGCCAGCAAAGCCGAAAATATTCACTAGAAAAGGTTTGCATAGGTTACAGTAGAAGTTTAAATTGAGCTCAGTAAATGACTTGAAGTAAAATATATTATTCTTAATACATCATTGAAATTTTCTATTGAATTTTATTGAATCAAAAAGGATTCTGCTTATTTCTACGTGGCCTTAAAGCAGGGGTGGCAAACTTTTTGACTCGAGGGCCACAATGGGTTCTTAAACTGGACCGGAGGGCCGGAACAAAAGCATGGATGGAGTGTTTGTGTGAACTAATATAAATTCAAAGTAAACATCATTACATAAAAGGGTACGGTCTTTTTTTTTTTTTTAGTTTTATTCATTTCAAACGGGCCGGATCCGGCCCACGGGCCATAGTTTGCCCACGGCTGCCTTAAAGGGAGGGAAGCGCCTGTGGCCCATCACTGGGCACTTTGAGGTGCAACAGGGCCTATGAGTTTCAAAGATGTATGAAGGTTGTCCTGACAAATGTTTTCCAAAAACTTGTCATAGAGGATGGCTGTGAAAAAAGTCACTAGAAGCAATACTGCATGTAATGAGCATATATGTAGCTGCAGATGAATGCTCAAGTCCTTAGCTAAGTGTTATACCTTAAAACTTCTTTATTGCTTCACATGTGGCATGCAACATTTTAGAAGGAAAAATAAAGAAATGACCCAGAAGATATGAATTGAAGCAAATGATGAAAATAAATGTTATTTGACATTCATCACCTCACAATAAATTATGTAGAAAAAAAGGATTCTATACAACAAATCCTATCTAATAAAAGAGAAACATGGTAATTGGCGTACGACCTCTACCCTTCCCATTGGCTAATCAGCGAGTTATGCAAATTAACTGCCAGCCAATATGGCGGCCGGAAGCCAGACAGCTTGAAACTAACATGAGGCTTGCTTGCTTCAGTGAGGGAGGAAACCAACACTTCCCGCCTGCTTTGCCGGCCTCTGAGCCTGCACTTTAAGAAATACTGTAACGAATATAGAAGCTAAACAAAACCCCAGAAACCTGCTTTCAGCGAGGCCGGGATCTTAGAGCTGGAGTTATACATTGTTTCGACTATAGAACCGAAACAAACCAGATACCTTCTTTCAGCAGCAGAAGCCTCAGAGCTGGAGCCAGAGCTAAAGCTGGCCCAGAATAAAAAAAGAAAA